TCGTAGTTCTCGCCGTTTCGTTGTGGTAATAAACTGAGTTATAGTAAAGACGAAACTCGTACGTGTTGTTTACTTGGTCACAATTTATTGCAAATTTTTTTCCTTTGTGATTTTATGAAACGTGGCTTAAAGAAGGCTCCGATTTGTAGCCAACAATTTGTATGTTTTGAGACAAGATGTGAATGTTTGTGGGTGTAAACAATGACATGCTTTGTTTCTTGCATTTCAACACTCCAGTGGATTCCATAGTATAAACAAAAAATGTTAAATAAGAATTTTGTAGAATTGTGTAGTTCCATAAATTATCCATACCCCAGGGCTCATGGAGGAATTTTTTTAAGACACCCCCCCCACCCCCGGAAATTCCAATTTTCTTCCATACACTTCTGTAATATTTGTTCTTTCTCTGACCCCCCTACTCTTCGGAAATTCCAAATTCCTCTGTGGGTGGGTATGGATGATTTCTGGAACTACACATTTCAACAATAATATTATCATAAGATGAATTTAAAAGAATTTCAGGACTTTACCTCGGCCTAGGAGTAAATTAACTGGCTTTTAGTTAAGATTTGAGAAAAAATAATAATTAGAAGGAATAGGAAAAGTTATGTTTGGCTAACGGAATGGTAACATGCAGGACTCAAAATAACACAAATTAATGTTTGTGCAGGACAAGTGAATTTTGACTGAACATTTTTGTCCAACATATTATTCTCAACATCATAGATGACATATATAATTTTATGAGGCAGTATGCCGTGTGGGATGTGCTCGGATATCAAATAAGAACATGGGTAATAGGTAAATTACAAGCCTTAGATGAAACGACTGAAGAAGAGTGCCGTACAAGCCTTTCACAACTCCAAGTCACATAAAAAAATGAGCATAGGTGACAGTTATTTTATCTTACTTGCAATCAGGAAATTGGCATTGCATTTTTTACTGCTGTTTTGAGTCCTGCAAATAAGATTATTTCACAAATGTTTTTGTAGGAATGTTTTCTTTATGATTTACAATAATTTCATTGAAAACATCATCATTCAAAACTATTTTCAGCACACCACAGAAAGGTTAAAAAAGTATAAGTATTTTTTATTCAAAACCCAAGACTATAAATGATTCAGAAAAAATCACATATGTGAAATGTTTTTTTTTAATTCCATTTATTCCAGTTTTATTTTAATTTTAAAGAAATTAATTATGAGATTGTCTGCTATTTTAAGATTTTTTTACTATTAATTAATTTTTTGTATACCAGAAAAATGAAATAGAGCAGGTGCATGTTACATGTATGTCATCTCCGCCATCTTGGTTGACGATAACAAAGCATTCCTCATAAGCTTGAACTTGAGTGGCTTATTGCTAATAATTCTCCTACAGCTGCTATTAGTGTTGTCATACAACGCTCACTATCTATAGCGGCTGCGTAGGAGACTAATTGCTGATTGGTTCCGAAGTTATTGATTGAGTACTTTTGGGCTTCCTGTGGTGATATGGACGGACTTACAAATATAACCTGATGTTGCAGTGACTTCGCCTCTACAAAGCAGTAGCCAAAAAACTAGTAATAAGCCCACTAGTCTGCTAACACAAATACCTATTCAGTTATAACCCTAGTGTCACCATCCTAGTATCGCCATCCTGGTCTTGCCATCCTGGTCTTGCCATCCCTTATGCATAAGGTCTCCATCGTCATGTCTACTACCAGACCCATTTCCTGACCAGTGCACATGTCAAGTAGCCAATTGTATTTTTTTTAGTTTGCTATTCTTGATGTATTCATAATATTCATAATATCTTCCCCTGATTTCCACAGCTTCTAGCATGCGGTAGCTTTCTATTGCCCACAACAACTTTGAAGGACAAGGAGTGCGTGATCTGTTGTCATTTAGATGTCTCATCAACAGTGTATAATAAGAGTGACGTTGCTATGCCAACAGATGGTCTAGCTCAGCACATGGACAAGGTAAACCTAACTTGTGCATCTTTGTGCCTTTTTTTCCTATCTTTTCTTTTGTCATCAGTATTTGTTAACCATCAGTGTCCCTATAGAGCGTGTGCATGCTACATCATAGCCGCCATCTTAATTGACGATAACAAGACATTCCTCATTAGCATCTCTTGTTAGATCAACCAACATGGCGGCAGTTTGATTGTTATTCATATCTCAAGGGATTTTGAGTCACATGGTTGCACACACTCTATAATGTGGTAGACTTTTTTTCTGCTTTACAATTAGTCTAAAATAAGGGATGGGAAATGGGATTAAGACCCCCCCCCCTCCCCCCTCCTTCCTTCAGGATCTTCAGCTACAGCTGGGACATTAATCATCATTAGAATATAATTTTAGAGTTGAATATAGAGTTGAGTTGAGTGCGCAGTAATTGGTTGAGTGATCAGTGATTACGGGACGATAATCACTGCTTGAGCGGGGATTTAGCAAAGTTTGCCAGAGGGGAATTAATACTTAAAGATTTTTTAAACCAGAATTTCATCTTTTCTCTGATATTCAATCCTAAGATTATATACTCAAGAATTATGGAATTATTATTGGCACAGGACACAGGAGAGAGGCATGTTCCCTCCTCCTTCCCCCTCCCCCTTTTGACCAATCAGCATGCATGTACTATCCTAACTATATAATAATTTCATTGAGACTTTCTTCTTCATACAATATCTTTTGCCCCTTCACTCATTATTCAACATTAACACTCTCATTTCTCTCTTTCTTTTACCACCCATTATCCATTAGTTTAATTTTGATTTCCTTTCCATTACAGGATGATTGTGCTTTGCAAAACCTAAATCTTAGCAATTGCTGTTTGGGAAACCAAGACATGGAACCTCTGACAGACAGGCATTGTTTTAAAGATGTTCTCCAAACACTGGACCTTAGTTGTAATTATATTGAGAACGATGCTACTGATCTTCTTAGCAGGTATTTGTTTGACTGTTATTATTAACATCATCATCATCATCAACATCATCATCACCATCAGCAGCATCATCATCATCAACATCAGCATCATCATGAAAAACATAATCATCTTCACCATGTTTCCCCTCCCCCTTTTGACCAATCAGCATCAAAGTAATTATGTTGTTGTTAATTCACCATCATCATCACCATCATCATCAACATCATCATCATCATCTTCACTATGTTCCCCCTCCCCCTTTTGACCAATCAGCATCAAAGTAATTATGTTGTTGTTAATTCACCATCATCATCACCATCATCATCGTCATTATCATCATTATTGTCATCATCATTATCATCACCTTCATTATATAAGATAGAGCATAGAAATGGCTTCCATGTGTCATGTTACTGATATGGATTCCTGAGATACAGCATTGAAATGGCTTTCATGTGTCATGTTAATGATATGGATTCCTAAGATACAACATTGAAATAGCTTCCATGTGTCATGTTACTGATATGGATTCCTGAGATAGAGCTTTGAAATGGCTTCCATGTGTCATGGTACTTTGTCAAATATTGAAAAGATTTTCTATCTCTTCTGTGCCTCTTATTACTCAATGAGGTGTTTTAATGATTGACACCTGTGGGTGTGTTAACATTGAAGTGGATTCCCAATTTAGCACTTAAGTGGCTTTCCTTTCTCCTGGTATGTCATCTAATTAGAGTGCTGAACATTAAAAGGGCTTTCTAGTTATATAGCTACAGGTGTCCTAATAGCTTCAACCTAAAGGGCATACACAAGAGTTGTTCTTCATATGAGTGGAAAACGATAAAGAAAATTAGTAGTCGCTATAAGTCAGTACCATTTGTTTCCCACTCATAAGATAACTATTCTTATGGGAAGCCATTTCAATGTTACGACATGTTGTACCGTGTAGGTGCTGTAAATCAGTAACATATGTTCCCACACATACATAACCATTCTAGTTACATGTTTGAATTTATAAATTTTCTCTAATGAATCACAATCATGATGGTCTCAGCAAGGCACATGTAGCCATGTAGCCTTCAGTTTCCTAATGACAGGATTTTCTATTTGCTCCACAGGCTGGTAAGCCATAGCCAGACCCTTATCAATCTCAGCATCAGTGGCAACCCTGGCATTGATAGTGGTTTTCTCCAGTTATTCCTGGATGCTCATAGGACAAGCTCGTCTGCAATACATCAATCTATGAGCCTGTAACATTAATTCACCAATATCAAACGAAATTTTAGGACTATTGTGAAACCATTCTACAGACAATTTAATGGAGTTAAACTTCTCATTCTGCCCTTTAAATCAAACTGACAAATTGTGCATTGCCGAGACATGGAAAAAGGATGCTGGAGGCGCTGATGAAAGGGAGGCAATGGTACAAGACTGTTTGTGCATCTTCAGGGCCGTAGCCACCAATTTCTGATTGGTCCGGTTTTTGAGGGTTTTCAGTTTTTCTTATACTTTTTTATTATTTTTATTATTTTTCTTATCTTTTGTTTCCCGAAAGTTGGTCCGGTTGAAACCGGACCAACGTACCGTGCCGGTGGCTACGGCCCAGATCTTGGGACTGCACAGCAATAGGACATTGAATTAAAAGGCTGCATGTTAAGTTTTATGTTCAACAGTTGCATAGTGATGCTTAAGGGGAGAGGGACTGGAAAGGAGTTAAACAAAGGAAAGTTTTTGAATATTAATTAGGGAGGGTAATACATGTATCAAGTGTTCCAKCATGGTTCCATCATCACAGGTTGTAAACATTGCTATATCTTAATTGTATTTTTCTTATCAAGCACAATTTTCATAAAGTATTCAAGAGCAAGTAGCGTAAAGCTAATTCCAAATCAAGTCTACCAAAATATAGCAATTTTTACAACCTATGGTCCCACTTGTTGACCCTTTGAGCATGTGCCTAGAGCAGTAGCACAGAACTCTTGATGCGTATATAGCAAAAACAGTCTCCTCCGAGTCCTCCTCCCCTTCCTCCTTGATTCCCACCCAAAGGCACTCCTTCGCAGCCTAACAACAATGTTAAAGAACAAATCCTTGAAAGCCTTTTATAGTTCATAATTGTTGAAACAATCCACGGTTTACATAGAAACTTGTTTGACTATGAGGTTGTTCCTTAAAAATAATGATGACGATGATGATCATAATAATTATTAATGATAAAAATTAACTTTGTTTATAGAGTATGACGCTTGACTGTAATTCAACTGATAAACTTGTGGTCAACTTTTAATGTCTCTAGTTTATAAGGGGTGGGACAGCCATTCATGTTGTCATCCAAACCTTGTGAAAGTGTAACCATTAGCAGATGTATCAAGAATAATGATATGAAATTATAAATAAGTTGGAAAGATTATTGTTATCAATGACAAAAGCTATGATGATGATAACTTTGATAGATATAGAAAGCCAAAGTGGCATGGGACACAGAGTGGTTTAGCACCACCTCTCACCGCTGTGGTCTGATCAAGCATGGTCTGAGACTGGATCATACATGAGTTGAGTTTGTTTGATGTGTTGTCCTCTTCTGTGCTGCGATGGTTTTTCGATTTGTATTATTACACAGCTTTTCTTTGCATGATTTTACACAAGCATTACCTTGCAATCGGTGTCTAAGGGTACATTCTTCCCATTCAAGCACAAGATTTTAGGTTTTGCTCTGTGTTTCACTCCTTTCATTCCCAAGTCCATCTCATTCCAGAGGAATTATACAGGAAAACAAATGCGAAGGATTAATAAAGTGTTGCAGTGTGTTCTTGGTTGATTTGTTAATATGTTTAGTACATCGTCTTAACTATAAGCTCATTATTTAATATCATTGCCCTAACATTCAACTTGGATAATGTTCTATTATTTCAGCATATTAACTTCCATTTGAATGAAGATACAGGTAAATCACCCAGTAGCTAACTGTGGTGAGCTGTGTTTTAAAGTAATCAGTTCATCCCAGCAACAGAGCAGCCAGTCTGGCAAGTAAGCATGTACATATTTATAGAGATTTTAAATTATCTTTCTGCAAAGTGTTTTGGGACAGTATAGTAGACTTTGGGGAAGAAGGGATGGATGGAGGGAGGGAGGGAGGGAGTGAGTGAGTGAGGGAGGGATGGATGGATGGGTGGATGAATAAACTGATGAAGTGGTTGGGAGGATGGATGAATGGATAATAGATTAATGGATAAATAAGGTAGAAAATATTATTATTTCTGCTTTGTGTTTTTAATGACAGAGACATGAGTGAATGACTTAAGAGATGACTGCGATGAGCTGTGTTATGAAGTCATCGGTTCAACCTGGCAACAGAACAACAAGTCTGACAAGTAAGCATGTAAATATTTATAGAGATTTTAAATTACTTTTCTGTGTGTGGGAAAGAATAGTAGGCATTGGGAAAGATGGATGGATGAATGGAGGGAGGGAGAGAGGGAGGGAGGGAGTTAGGGATGGAGGGAGGGATGGAGGGAGGGATAAACTGAGTGAGGGATGGATTGGTGGATGGGTGGATGACTAGACGGATGCTTTGATGTTTTTAATGACAGACACTACTACTGCAGAGTCAAAAGAAGGGTTTGATTAGTATGGATATTGGGAAGAAGCCCACTTGAAGAACAGAAAGAAAGAAACAACCATTTACACAACCATATGGTATTATGTACAAATGCCTATGATGCCACTAAAAGGTAGGAGGAAACATGTTAAACAATGTGCAAACACTCTTATCCTGCCCTGCCCTGCCCTGCCCTGCCCTGCCCTGCCCTGCCCTGCCCTGCACTGTACTGCCCTCTCTCTCTCTATTCTATTTTTTAAATCTATTTTTTGTTGTCAGTCCTCTTTTCTCCTTTCATTCTCTGTTCGAATTCCTCTTTTCTCTGTTCTTTGTTCTTTTCTCTGTTCTCTTCATGTAAGCAGACTCTCAGACGTGCACACTGGACAAAGATTATCAAATATATTAACCATGTATTCCTGATAAAGAGAGGTTATATTTCGTTGCACTGTTACATTGATTTTTGCAGGTGGACAGCAAGATGAATGACAGAATAAAAGAAGAAGAAATAAAATAAAAATGTAGGAAGAGAGGAAAGAGAAACGAGATAAAATAAATAAATAGGAAAAGCAAAAAGGAAAATAGGAAATAGAAGAAACAAGTAGAAAGAAAATCACAGAAAAAATGTGAACAATAGAGAAAAGGAATGAAAAGAAAAGAAAATTAAGAATATGTGTCAAAAAAGACACGATGAATAGTATTAAAATGTAAATGATAAAACAGAGCGAAAGGAGAAGAAAAGAGTTTGAACTATATATAAATGTTAACTGTAAAAAAAGCAAAATTAAGTGAGTCTTATTAAAATACTTTTAAAAAAATACAAAATCTCAGTCGTCACTATACGCCCCCTCCCAACCCCAGACCTCTGGACCACGGCTTTCGACATTATATTGAATGCGAGTCTTACAGGAAAAACATAAGAAATACCACACCAGAAAAGCTGTGATTTCTTTTGTATTTTCCTGTTCTGCTCGTTTTTAGGATAATCGTGAGAGTGACTGGACAATGACCCATCAACACCGTGACCGTCACAGAGAAACAAAGAAGTAATTCTTAAGGGATTAACCAATAAACAATAAAGGCACTTGTTCATAAAGTGCTAGATTCTTTAAGGCTTGCTTCTTATCGTATCATGATGAAGAATGTTAATTCTATGAAAGAAAGAAATGATGCTCGAGGGAACGACGTGACTAAAACACAACTTTCGTGGCCCTTTTTGCTTCTAAACAAAAAAACCTTCCACGGGTTTCTAGTATTCACCCAAATATGACGTCATGTATTTGATTACTTAGGGCGTTGTGTAGTCACGTGTTATTCTCTCGGGAAACTGTTTTATTCTTAGCTTGAAAACACTTATTCAAACTGAAATAAAGGAGAACAAATTAATGCGCATAATTTACTAGTATCAAACGGTTCGTCTGTTCTGTTTCGCTTCAAGAAGTAAAGCTCCTGTTTTGCGCGCTGAAATTATTGGCTAAAACTTGAGTTCAGTTGCAAGACAAGATTATTCACGGGGGTGGAACACGACACAATTTCGTTCAAAAACTTCCTCGCGAAGTTTCGTTTGCCGGCACGAGTATAGTGTGAGCAAGAAGTTAAAAGTTTCAACGTGTGAAAGTACCTTTAACTGCATGAAATCGAAACAGGCGCGCGAACTGGCGAAGCCGCATGAATCAATAAAGTTGATAAATAACTTGAAGTGTAATAAAAAAATATTGGCGCTTCATGCGTCTTGAAATATTTGGTTGTTCCTCTTTGTCTCTGGGTGTATTTTATCCTTGCTCGGGTGGAGTCTAGACATTAAAGGATATTTTTCAGCTGTTGTTTTATTTCTTTTATTTTTTATTTTTATGGGTCAGACAATAAATATCACACAATAAAGGTTCGATGTTCTTTTATCATCAACTGCGTGATTTATTGAATTTGAATGGAAGGGTTACTTCAAACCCACGATTTTTTTTTTGTTATGAAAATTTAAAACTCACGCCTTAAAAAACACAAAATTAAGGGTCACGTGACTGGTCACGTGACTAATTAMCATAATAGTGTTTTTTGCCTAAAATAAGCGTTTTTTCGGGTTTTTATCCTCCGTAGGGTACGAATATAGCCTTTTCTGGTCATGTTTCACGTTTTGGGCAAAAAATATTACTCGAAAACCGTCTATTTTTCGACAAAAAATAAAGATTTTCATGGGATCCCTGTGTAAAATGCTAGTTCCAGGTCCTTGCGTGAATTTGGTTCATTTCAAATCTTGCTTTCATCGCGGTTCGACGTGTGTCAATCTGTGGAAATATAAAGAGAAGTTTTTACAAGAACAAAAAAATTTTATTAGCTCGTGCTCCATCTAACAGAGAGATAAGGACACGAGAACTATGAAAGGTAAGAATTATTCTGTTTTTCTGCGTTATTCTGGCGTTTTTCCGTATTTTTAACCATATTAAAGATTTCGAAAGTTCGATTGACCGCCATGACACGTGTTGGCTTTGAACTCTAAGAATTTCACTTTTTCTTGCAAAATACAATTAAATTTGCCACAAATATGTAATTTTATAAAGTTTTCAAACAGTTTGTGAGCTTAATTTGAGTATATTTTTATTTTTTCCGTATTTTGAAACTTTGGTCATCATCGTTACACGAAACTTGGTTCGTGAAATTTTAAGACCTCCCCTCCCTCGTTAGAACCATGAAAATCCTAAATATTAATGTCCTGATGATTTAACTTTCTTTGTATTGCAGTCTTAAAAGTATAACTTACACGTGAAACACTCCATAAGGCTGTCCAGTGAGCATGTAACAAGATGGAAACCTGAAATCTGAGCCTAACTACCATACTGCATCTTGACTCTAACCAATATATAATGGAATACTTCAGTATTAATCTGGTAATGATGGGTATACTGCACTAAAACAAGAAGCAAAAACACTTGATACAATGTTGTCTATGAGTAATGAACTGCAAATCAACCTGTTGATGACCCTGTGACCTTCATAACAAAATGGACTCACACTGTTGCTGTATGGATGTTGACCTGAATATCAACCTGGGGATGACCCTGTGACCTTCATAACAATATAGACTCAACTTGTTGCCACAAAAATGTTGTTCATATCCCAAGCAGCAGTTTATTACTAATCATCAGGTATGTATATTACTCTGCAGAACAATTTCATACATAAGTTAGTTATACAATGCTTTGTTGAGGCACTCTATGGGCTTTTATTTCTCATAACCAACATGATAGATGTCAGACAACCACAGGGTTCCCACTGTACAACATGGTCTACTGCTGACTAGTACTGTATAGTGACAGGACTGAAGGATTGAAAAGGATTATGCATTATAGAGCATTTATACAAGTGCAGTCCTAACTAGTAACTGCTAGTAATGTAATCATTTCAACAAATATCTATGATTGATTCAGATTTCTAAACACAGATCTCTTTTTCTTTTTCAACAGCTTGATGACAAGTATTGATATGTGTCATCATTAGATTGTGATGATACTACATTGCATCAAGCTATTGCCAGCAGATGTATGACAGACAAGTAAGTTAAACTATTAGCTATGTTACAATATAAAAATGCATCCAAATTAGTTTTTTCTTTTGTATTCATAAAAATGATACCAGCCAAAAGTCATGCTTTAGCATTTTGGTAGAAGTAGTAGTAAAATGACGCCATCATGCAAACTGCCTATTTCAGTCATGCTTTAGCATTACAGTGCAACTACTGTAACAGGGGTCAATTACAGCAGTAAGACAAGAGAACCAATTTAAAATCTTCAATGAAAACAATGCATTCCAATCTTTGGTATTCAAGCCAATCAGAAACCCAGACTGAACTAGATCATCATCATCATTTTCTCTATTGTTTACAGCTGCTTTCTGATTGGCTCAACTACCCAAAGTTAGAATGTATTGTTTTCTTCCTACAATTTGATTGGTTCTTGCTGTCTAGGTAGCCCCATTTAGAGTAGTCACACTGTACTTTAAGGAGCCCTTTTGGCAAAGTAGACCACTGCATACTGGCTGTCTTGAAATAGTGTTTTAGTGACCACACATATTATGTGCTTGGATCTCTCCATTCAATGTCCTCTTCATTAGTATTCAAGAAGTTGTTATTATGTAATGCCATGTGCCTTTATACATAAAGAATACTAATGAGGATGACTTTATCAGAAAGATAAAGGTATATCCAAGTACATCAAATTCTCACAAAGGTCAATCTTGTGTTGTACAATCACTAACAACCTGCAAAATGTCTTTTTCTAATACTCTGAAATTTGCATGCTAGAGAAATTAATTAACTTAGCGTAATAAACACTCAGGTTTCTCAACACATCTCTAATTTTTTCAACAGCTTGCCAGCCTCTCAACCAAGGATCATGTTGTCATGGTGATGATGCTGTCAAGTTCTGGCCATCAGATAGATGACAGACAAGTAAGTTTAGCAATTGGATATATCATGTTTGATATCAGCATGTCTCTCACATACTTGATGGAATATGTAAGACATAATCTAAGACTAGCAGTCAATAAATAATATTGTTATATACACCTACTTGCAAGAAGGTTGTCATACAAGAATGGAACAGTAGTAATTTAGCGAGAAAGGAATACATAAAAGACAAAAGAAAAAGTTCAGCTTCAGTGATCTTCTTTTGTTCTTTAATATAATTCCTATCCCACTAAACCACTAATGTTCTATTTTCGTATGACAACGTTCTTGCAAGTAGGTGTACCAACTGTAAAAGTCCATTATCTCTTGTACTCTGATTGGGTAAGAGGTATCATGTGAACAAGTTTCAATGTTTCCCCGCAATGGCTTTCGATTGGCAACAATATGTAGCTGCTTTGCATTCTTTGGCACTTCGTATATAACAAAACACTACTTTATGTGATGTTCCAAAAACCATCCATTCCCCCTCCCCCACTAAGCAATTCCAAATTTCTGAGGGGAGAAGGGTCAATTAAAGGACAAAATTTTAAAAAAAGGTAATGGAAAAATTTGGAATTTCTAGGGAATGGAAGGCCTATAAAAAAAACCTGCTGGGAGGGAGGAAGGAAAATTTTTGGAACTGCACATTCACTAGAACCTCCAGAAAGCAGTGTGTTTTATGGTCCCAGTCAATAAGCGTTAAATAAATAACACCCAGAGAAAAACCCTTGAAGCACAGGAGAGAAACAATAAACAATTCTACTCAATACATACCGGTAAGCAACACCAAGTCCAGGAATCAAACCTGCACTGCCTTGGTGAGAGGAAAGCACTCTGACTGATAGGGCACCCATGCTTACACCCATTCAAGCATATGACGTTTGTCATTTGATCCTATCTAATGTGCATCACTGGAAACAGGCAACAGGATATTGACAATTTCTTTTTGTTTTTCTTTTCTAGCTTCACCAAATCTGTCATATTCAGTTATACCAAGCTGCAAAGCCTTGTAAGATGATGCAGCACCATCAAGGGCAAGTCAATCAGTACTGATGACAGGAATCATCCACCAAGGATATCAATACGAGTAACATGGTTTAGAGGAATATAAAGAAAAATAGGAATATAAAGAAAAATAAGTTAATCTAGCATTTTTCAGAAATAACAAAAAAAAAAAAAAAAGGAATTCAAAAAAATGTTACTTCCTAGGCCTAGGAGAATAGTATACCTTGTGTAAACATCTTAAAGCAAACACAACCAAAAAGACAACCATTTCAAAGAAGAATTTGGTAGAATTTCAAAAAGTTGGAAGATGAATTTAAAAGAATTTCAGGGTTTGCCCTAGGCCTAGGAGTAAAAAAATAGCATTAGTTAAGATGTGACATGAAAACCTAGTAGAAAAAAGAAAAATGTTTTTGGCTAGAGGACTGGTAACATGCAGGGCTCAAAATAACACAAATGTTTTTGCAGGACAAGTGAATTTTGAATGTAAAATTTCTGTTGACATTTTATTCTGAAAATCGTACATGATTTTTTTTTTCTTTTCCTTGCAATCAGAGTGTTGGCATTGCATAATGCCTGCTGTTTTGAGTCCTGCAGATACGTTATATTCACACAAAAAATAGGAATGTTCTGTCCATGATTTACAATTGAAACCATCTTCATTCAAAACTCTTTTGTGCACACGTACTGCAATGACAGTAAAGATTCCAAAAAATAAGTTTGTTTCATTCAAAAACTACAAGTTCAGATATAATTCAGCAAAAATAGCAAGATAATTTTTGAATGGAAAAATGCTTTCAAGGCTGTTTAAGATAAAGATAAATTTATTGAACCCATTGAAAATGAAGTCATAAGAGACCTCAACACATCAAATCTTATCTCACCTATCAATAATCTAACATTAATAAATACTTTTGATTGCCAGTTCTCTAGCCTCAGATATTAGATATAGGAGAGTATTTCAGGTTATCCAGTGCTTGACACCAACACTGGTCCACTAATCTGGGACTAGTAACTCTTTGCTGTGGGCTAGTGAAAATAAGGACACTCTAGTCCTGACCATAGGCTAGTGGGTTTTTTAAGGGTTATGAAGGGAACGTATTCCATTGTCCAGGAAATATTTTCTGGGCTCATAAATTACTCTGCTGAACTACTAGATTTATAGACTTACTAGCCCATTGCCTTGTATCTGCAAAAGTGAGTGTCAAGCACTGTTATTTTAATCAAAACATTTTACAACTAGTCAAGGGTTCTCAGTAAAAACCAAACAAATTTGTTTTGCTCATGCAGTTTTAATTTTCACAACTTGAAACAAATTAAGATTGGCTGCTAGTTTTAATAAATATTTTTATTCAAAATCTACTGGGAACCCTTCACTAGTTAGAAACACTCTCCTATATCTAATATTATCATCATTTATTATTTGTACCAGAAAAATGAAATACACTTGATACCTCCCACGAGGTCCTACCAGCACCAAACAGAAGCTGCTCCAACAGGCCAGGAAACCACAAAAGGCAGTACAACATTGCTGCTCTTGGCAGAGTCTAACCTTGAGGCTATGATCAGATGATTGCTCTGGCGGTGAAGGTTGTAGGTAAGGATACCAGGTGATGGCTCTCTGCAGATTTCATGGGAGTACGCTGATGGTATGGATGCCAGTACACTGTGCAGGTTAGTGTGAGTAAGAGCAGAGATAATCATATCTTACTATTCATGGG